GGCTAGTATCGTCTCATTCGTTTCCCATCTCTCAGGGTCACTGCACTCCACTGCCTGATGTCCAGTACCTGGAAAAATCAATTTTTCATATATTCTGTCTGTTTTTTTTCATGTGGGAGGGTAAATCCAGCCCCTGTTACTCCATCTTGGCTGGAAGTGAAAGTCTCTACATTTTAATTTCTTCTTTGACATATGCATTATTTAGAAGTGTGTTTTTTAATATCCAAATCTTGAGGATTTTTCAGATTTTTTGTTGTTAATTTTAAATTTATTTTGTGGTCAGAACACACTCTGTTATTTCAATTTTTATGCTTATTGAGAATTGTTCTATGACCCAGTGTACAGTATATTGTATATTTCACATATACTCAAAAAGAATGTAGATTCTGCAGTTACTGAGTGGAATATTTTACAAATGTCAGTTAGGTGTAGTTGGTTGATAGTGGTTTTCAAATCTTTTATTATATGCTTATTTATTTTCTATCATCTTTTTCTAACAACTGGTGAGAGAGAAGTGTTGAAATCTCAATCCATATTTGTGGATTTGTCTATTTCTCTTCTTAGTTCTACCATTTTTCACTTTGTGGTTTTAGAAACTGTTATTAGGTGTGTACGTATTTAGTATTTGTCATGCTTTTTTGATGTACTGACTCCTTAGTGAAATTTCTTAATTTCATTAAGAGATAATGAAATATTTATAGAAAAACAACAACAACCACTGCAGTGTTCGGTTTATAGCATATATAGAAGTAAAATGTATAACAACAATAGCATGGGGAATGGAAGAGGAAGTAAGTATACTACTGTAAGTTCTAATGTTACACATAAAAATGGTATAACACTATTTGAAGATAGACATAAGAAGTTAAAGATTTATATTGTAAACCCTAATTCAACCACTTTAAAAAAAAAACGACAAAATAAAGAAGTATAGCTAAAAAGCCAAAAATGGAGATAAAATGGAATAATAAAGAAAATAATTCATTCAAAAAAAGGTAAGAAAGGACAGAAAAAAGAACAGTACTAAAAGAACAGAACTAAAGTAACAAAACAAAAGTTAAAGCTAGTAAGTCAGAAAAGGACATAAAATGTAACCATAAACAGGACAGAAAGAGGACAAAAAGAACAAAAAAATGAATGGGATACATAGTAAACAAATAACAAGATGGAAGGTTTAAAGGCCTGGTGATGTGGTGGTTAAGCACTGGGTTGCTAACTAAAAGATCAGTGGTTCAAACCCACCAGCTGCTCTGGGGGAGAATGATGTAGCAGTCTGTTTCCATGAAGATTACAGCCTAAGAAACTCTATGGGGGAAGTTCTACTCTGTTCTGTAAGGTCACTATGAGTTGGAATTGACTAGACAGTAACTTTTTTTATATCAATAATCACATTAAATGTAAATGATTTAAACACCTCAAACAAAAGCAGAGATTGTCATACTGGATAACAAAAAGCAAGACCTAACTATAAGCAGCCTACAGGAAACGCAATTTAACCCTAATGATACAAATGAGTTTAAAGTAAATGAAAGAATATATACATCTTGTTAGCATTAACCAAAAGAAAGATGGAGTGATTATACCAACATCAGACAAAGGAGATTTCAGAACAGAAACTATGACCAGGGATAAAGAAAATGACTTTGTAATGATAAGAAGTCAATTCTTTAGGAGGACAAAACAATTTAAATAATTTGTGCACCTAATAACAAGCGAAAAGTGCATGAAGCAAAACCCAATAGATCTGCAAGAAGAAATAGAAAAATTAACAATTGCAGTCATAGATTTCAATATCCCTCTATCAATAAGTGAGAGAATAAGTAGACAGAAGATCAGTAAGGATATAGAAAACTTAGATAGCACTATCAGCCAACTTGACCTGGCTGACTTATGGAACCCTTCACTCAACATCAGCAGAATAGACATTTTTTACAAGTGAATACAGAACATTAACCAATGGACTATTATACATGTATCGAAACAAATGAAGTATAGCTGCAGAGATCAGTAGGAATCTTAACCAAAAAACCAAACCCGTGGTGGTCGATTCCACTCATAGCAAACCTATGGGACTGCCCCATAGGATTTCTTAGTAACATAAAAAAGCAAGACCTATAAGATAGCATATAGCATGATACCCTTTGTTATAAAGTTCCAATACAAGCAAAACTAGACAATGTACTGTATATAATTAAAACGATTTAAGAGTCCAGGGAAAGTAGTGAGTGATCCCTCTGAGAGGCGGTGGGGGGTGGGGGTCGGGAAGTGGGGGAGGAGCAGCGTGGGAGGAGGAAGGGGGACTTTGTCTGAGGTCATTTACTAGCAACTGTCTAGGTCTTGTATTGAGAGTAGGTTTACAACTGTTCATTGTATTGTTTTATCAACAAATGAATGAATAAATGTCTGCAAGGAAAAGAAATAAAACGCAATGGGTATTCTGAAAGCTATTGGGTAGCACTCACCACCTGGAACCCTGGATGAAGGACTTTGAGGCTGGAATCAAAATTCTAGGTGAAAGTCACCAGGGTCCAGGGTACCTGGAGAACAGGTAACCTTCAGTCTATTTGGTGCTGGAAAGAAAGAAAGGCCTCAGTGTTGAGTGCTGTCCCCAGTTACACTCCCTCCACGGACCCTGCAGAGTTCCTCCCACAAATTGCTCTGAGAGTCCCACCAGAGTGAAACTTCACAATTAGATGGTCCAGGGGGTGGGGAAGAAAAAGCCCTTAACAAGCTCCATAAAAATCATCTGGGGTCAGAGGCGGAGGGACACGGTGAAAGGTGGCGCGATCTCGACCCCACCCCCGGACACATGCAGCGACCCAGCGGGTACCCTGCCCGTCTGGGATTGGAGGAGTGGCTTGGCAGCACCTTGGTCTTGAGTCAAAAGGTCAGGGGAAGGCTTCGAAAACAGCAGCTGTCAGGGGCCCCCCAGTGACCTCTGCCTGGCTGGACGGCAAGAGCAAGAGGACACCGGCTCCCAGAGCCTCCCAGCCCTGACACAGCACGTCTGCTGGCCTGGATCTCCAGCAGAGGTCAGACCCAGAGGCAGCCAGCCTTCGCTTCTGTCTTGGGTGGAGGTGTTTGGGTCCTGAGCCCTCCCTTCCCTCAGTTTGGGGGTCCAAGCCGGCCCCACTGATCTCAGCCCCACGCTTGATGCTGCAGACCCTTCCCAGGTCCAGACCTTCCTACTCCAAGCTGACTCGTTTCACATCACCGGGGTGGAGGGCTGCTGAGATGGGCTTTGGGAGGCAGTGCCCAGCCCCTCACTCCCTGACTGTGCACCCCCACCAGACGTGGACTCCCCCTCAGCCCTGATGGCTGTTTCTCCAGGCAGTTCACTCACTGTCCTCCCTGCACTGACTGCTGCCACCTCCAGGTAGCCCATGATGTCCTGAACACTCTCTCCTGGCCCACAAGAGACCTTCACTGCTGGCCATGATGGTGTCTAGCACCTGGGTCTTGTGGTCATGGGGCTCAGCATGCATGGTTCTTCGGAGCCCGCCACAGGCCCTCTGCTGTTCCCTGCATGAGTTCACTTCCCACGAGAACCAGGAGTTGCCTCCAACTCAGACCCGCAAATGAAGGGAGGGGGCCTGAGGGCCAATCATGAATTTCATTTGTCCTTCGTAATCTCCCTCCACCACTAGCAGACAGACCCCAGTGGCAGAGTGGGAGGACCAAGAATGAGGCTCCACCTCCTCCCAGAGGGGCAGGAAGCCCCAGGAGCCCTCGGCGGGCAGCGGGAGTCTCTCTAGCCCCTGCCTCAGCCCATCCTCTGCACACAGACAGTCCATCCTCAGACACCCAGCACCATGGATGTACTTACACAAAAATCCCAAACAGTGTGGACCCATTAGAGGCTCAGAGTGGACAGCCCCCACCCGTCCCTCAAAGGACCGCTTTGCTGCTATACAAGATGCAAGATAAAGAAGTCAGGCTGGCTCAAGGCCAATCCACAGCAGGACATCAGAGGTGGGCAAGGGGCCTTCCTCCCTTTGGAAACCGCCTAGTGGCTCTGCTCACCCCTGAGGGTGTCCGGGACAGCTGATGGCCTTGTTGGCCCCTCATTCTCCTTCCCAAGATATAAAGACCCTGGACACAGAGAGTAGCATGAAGGAGCAGTGCAAAGGAGCCATCCTCTAAGGACCAACATGGCCCTGGACAGGGATGCTCCCTAGGGCTCACGGCCCCCGAACGGCAACAGGGCACAATGGGTCTTCTCTCCTGTTGTGTGTGTGTACACCTGGTGTGTGTGCACACCTGATGTGTGTCTGTGCACCACGATGTGCGTGTGTGTGTATACATGCCCCCAGGGTGTATGTGTTTGTGTATGTGTATGTGTTTGCGCCTGGTGTGTGTGTGTACGCATGGACTTAGGGTGTGTTTATGTGCATGTGCAAGCACTCTGTGTGTGCAATGGTGTGTGTGTGGGTTTCACAGGTGTGTGGGTGAGTGTGTGCCTGTGTTTGTGCACAGGTGTGTGTGTGTGTGTGTGTGTCCATGCACCTAGGGCATGTGTGTGCACCCAGGGTGTGTGGAGGGGTGCTCACTCACATACACATCTGGCTGTGTACCTGTGTTTTGGGGGCAGGGAGGAGTGTGAACCTGAGGTGCAAATGCGTGTAAGTACCTAGCTGTGTATCTACACCTATTGGTGTGTGCAGGCCCCAAGGCTCCTCTGCCAGGTGTTATCTCTGTGTAAGAACGCATGTTGGGCTGAGAGGTGGGATGACAAGTAAGTGCCACAGTGGGTCACAAAGGTGAGCAATAGGAGCATCTGTACTCTCCCTGTCCACCAGCCTGGTCAGCTTCGAGAGCACCAAGAGGAATTGCCTCAGTCCTCAAGTTGGCCATGCCAGGTGTGGTAGATCCCTGCCTTGGAGATCTCAGAAGGGGATACATTGCACCCAGCCACCCGGGTCCTAGTCCCAGCACTCATCACACTGCATCTCTCTGCTATTCCAGGGTGCTCAGAAGTGATCTCCCAGGCTGAGTTGGCCATGAGTGACTCCAATGAGACCTTCTTGGTGACAGAGGTTGTCTTGCTGGGATTCCCGGAGCTCTGCCACCTACACGGGCTGCTGTTTGGGTCCTTTCTGACCATCTACATAGTGACCATCCTGGAGAACCTGGTCATCACAGTAGTCATCCGAGCCAGTCATCAGCTGCACACACCCATGTACTTCTTCCTGGCCGATCTATCAGTGCTGGAGACCCTGTACACCTCAGTCACTGTTCCTAAGCTGCTGGCCGGCCTCCTGGTGCAGGCAAAGACCATCTCCTTCTCGGGGTGCCTCACACAGCTCTTCCTCTTCCTCTCACTGGCCTCCTCTGAGTGCTTCCTCCTGGCCACCATGGCCTGTGACCGGTACCTGGCAATCTGTCACCCGCTGCGCTACTCGGCCATCATGGACTCAAGGATGTGCCTTCACCTGGCCCTCAGTGCCTGGCTTGGTGGCTTCCTGGCCTCATTTGTGTCCATGGCTCTCATCTCCCACCTCAGTTTCTGTGGCCCCAATGTCCTCAACCACTTCTTCTGCGACATCTCCCCCCTGCTGCAGCTCTCCTGCTCAGACACCACCGCCACTGAAATACTGGACTTTGTGGCAGCCGTGGCCGTGCTCATGACATCCCTGCTGGTGATCATGGTCTCCTATGCCCACATCCTGGCTATGGTGCTGAGGATCCCAGGAGGAGCTGGACGCTGGAAGGCCTTCTCCACTTGTGCCTCCCACCTGGTGGTGGTGGCAATCTTCTACACCACTACCATCT